TACTACGACTTGTGCCCCAACACGGCCCTGCTCTTTATGAACCACTACACTGAAGGTCTCATGGACCGCCCCGACTTTCCAAAGGTAATTGGAGTAAAGTCGCTGGGCTCTGAAAACTGTGTAGGACAAGGTGATTGTCAACATGCCCAACGTCGAAATGTACGAGCTCAAGGGCAAGGACTACCATCGCTTTGACGTCGTTCTCTGCAAGACGCGCGACGGCTACGAGCGTCTCTCGCGCTGGTACTCCTGACTTCGAAAAATCATCCTATTTCTCACATCCTGTTGGTAGGTACGAGGACAACGGGAACCCGCGCAACACAACGCTGCTCTACGTACAGCACACGTCGTCGGACCCGTCGACGGTCGCCATTACGCATGCGATGGCGCACCCAGAGAGCCCGCCGATCAAGCCCAAGGATTTTGAGAATCTTACATTCTTCCATGCCAACGGCCACAGCTGGTTCAAGAGCACACGCGCAGTGCTCGAGTGCTGGCAGAAGCGACCGGACTTGCCGCTCATCCACGTCTACTCGATGAATAGCGGTACGCTACGCGACTTCAACGAGCTCTTTTTGCCTCTCGGTGCGCCGTCCAATCTCCAGTTTCACTACGGCGAAGAGGTTGACGTTGCCCAGTTTGGCCGCCACCTTCTGGAAGCCAGTGCGATCTTGTGTCCAAGCAAAATGGAAGGCTTTGGCCACTACATCAACCAAGCAAGAGCGTCCGGCGCGCTCGTTTTGGCGACCAACGGACCGCCCATGAACGAATTCATCGACGATAGGGCTGGTGTGCTCATTGACGCTACCCGCAAGGACCCTAGCCCGTACGTTGAACCCGTGTTTTGTGGGTGCTACACTTGTGTACGTTAGGAATCAAATTTTGAGCGTCTATGGCGGCATGGAGTGGGGCGTCACGTCGAAAGCTATTTGTGATGCCGTCGATAGCGTCTTGGTCTTGACGCCGGGCGAGCGGCAAGAACGAGCGGAGAGGGGACGGCGGCGGTACGAGGCGCAACTTCTCGATTTCAAAAGAACCATGCGCCACGTCCGCGTGGGGTTGGCGCAATAAACCATCTAGAAATAATCTGGTTTCGATACGCACTCCAGGTCTAATGGGCAGTATCTTTGACTGCAACCTTTGGCTCCACACCGACTGCGTATAAATTGGAGCACTCGAGATGGCCACGCCGCTGGACACTCACATGACACTCATCACCTGTCGGAGTATCCGGATGCGATAATGTCAACCGGTTGCCCACATTCGGTCTCCAGCGGCAACCGTCAGAGCTGAGCCACTTCAAGTCTTGCGCTGATGGCTCGTCTAACGGTTCGTTCGGCGATGCACCATGCAGTCTACAGAGCCTATGTGGGGGTAGGTTCCCCGGCGCCTGTACCTCGCTCTTCTCGCCATCGCGTGCTTCGTCCTCACTGCTTACACGCTCGTTGCGCAGCAGCTTCCGCAGCCATTGCTGCGCCAAGGGCATGTGGCGGAGCGCGCTGTCGACGATGAGACGACCCTCGATCTTCTTGGTGATATTCTGCACCTCAACAACCTCAACGAAGCGTGCATGCACGCTCACGACGTCGTGATTCCGTGGACGTACAACAGCTCGGCCGTCGACCTCCGCCACGTCTGGTCCCGCGACAAGACGCCGCAGGACGAGCTCATCGCGCACCTCGCACAGTGCCCGGGCGTCGATGTCTTCCTCCCCACAGGCTTGCGCGGTCACGGCTACTGCGAAGACGGCATGGCGTACGTCAAGTTTCTCAAAACACGCGCGCTACCGATTTGGGTCTTTGACTTGCGATTCGACTACCAAGGCAAAGTGCAATCTCAATCTCAAATCTCAATCTCTCACACTTTCGCCAGGGCGGGCCAATATAACGTACTTTGACTTGTGCCCCAAGACGGCGCTGCTCTTTATGAACCACTACATGGACGGCGTTCCCGACCGCCCGGACTTTCCCAAGGTCTCATCCAAGATAGAGCGCGCGATAAGATCTTGGTTGTAGGACAAGGTGATGGTGTCGATGCCCAATGTCGAAATGTACGAGCTCAAGGAAAAGGACTACCATCGCTTCGACGTCGTTCTCTGCAAGACGCAGGACTGCTACGACCGCCTCTCGCAATTGTACCAACATCCCTTCTCTTGCTCCGCACGCAAGTACGACGGCGTAGGTACAAGGACTTTGGAAACCCGCGCAACACGACGCTTCTCTACGTTCAACACACGTCGTCGGACCCGTCGACCGCCGCGCACGTGCATGCGCTGGCGCACCCAGAGCTGCCGCCGATCAAACCCAAGGACTTTGACAAGATCACGTTCTTCCATGCCAACGGCAACAGCTGGCAAAAGAACACACCGTCCGTGCTGAAGTGCTGGCAACGCCGACCGGACCTGCCGATCATTGACGTCTATACGCTGAGCGCCAAGACACTCGAGGACTTTACCGAGATTTTTGGGCCGGACGGAGCGCCGCCGAACGTGCGGTTCCACCACGGCAAGGCCATTGACGCCTCTCAGTTTGGCCGTGAGCTCATCCAAGCCAGCGTCATCTTGTGCCCAAGCAAGATGGAGGGCTACGGCCACTACATCAACCAAGCGAGGGCCTCGGGTGCGCTTGTTTTGACAACAAACGGTCCGCCCATGAACGAGTTTGTGGACGACGAATCCGGTGTGCTCATCGAAGCGTATCGCCAAGCGCCCAACTCGTACGACCATATCCTGCGATTCGAGTGGCATTCATCGTTCTTGCGAGTAGGAACCAACTCCTGAGCGTCTATGGCGGCATGGAGTGGGATGTGACGCCCGACGGCGTCTGCGATGCGGTGGACACCGTGTTGAAGCTGACGCCGGCGGAGCGGCAACGACGCGCTGCGAATGGTCGCCGGCGCTACGTCGCGCAGTTTGTCGCGTTCAAGCATGCCATGCATCGCGTGCGCGCGTTGTTCGATGCGTGGCCGAAGAGCCACCCGCATTGGCGCTGATTGTGCAAAGCCACGGATTAATCGATATTCCCTTGGTCATTGAGTCATTATTGCGCCTCGTCACAGAACGGTTTGTCCTTGATCACGCACAGTTGAAAGATCTCAGTCGATAGTGAACCGGTTCGCTTGTCTTCTCGGTTCGACGTCCAGCGCGAGGGGCATGGGAGAGGCGGTGCGATCTTGCACTCCGTGGCACACGAGACTCGCAGCACCGCGTCGTCGAACATAAGGTGCCGACAAGCAGCAAAGTGTTTACCGTCCAACGCCCAAGTAATCTTGCGTGAATCCAGGTGGATACCCAGGCATCACAACCACCGACAGTGCGCTAGAATCCACTCGTCTTCAAAGCAGCGTCGCTGGGTGCAAGAACAGCGTAGCATCACACATCTTGTCCAAAGGTGCGTCGCGACGGCGCCGTCAATGACCTGCGGAGCTTGTGACGGTTGTGAATTTGCCTCGTGGACAGGAATACGCAACCGGCGCATCAAATTTAGCTCGATGTAACCCGTAAAATGGGAATCTTGATGTTTACGTACATGATATACAAAGAAAGAGGAAAAATAGATTGAAAGGTCCGTTGACACACGTGGAGCCTGCCTTTCAAGTGATGCGGCTTGAGTTGCTTGTGATGCCTTTAACCAATCAGTCGAAGC